AAGCTCTCGCTTATCAAAAAGTTCCACATTTGTGTCTTTCGAGATCATTCCGTAAAAAATCCTTAACTTCACGGTGTATCGTGTAGATATGGGTGTCCCGGAATGCTTGCAACATCATATATATTTTGTAAATCCCAGCATGAGCTAAACAAAAGGTCTTGAGTTTTTCTCTAGAAGAATCATTGTCGAATGCTCTCCAGGTTTCTATCTATCTTTATTCGAACAATGGAACTTATTATTTTTATAGATCACATTGTGAGACACCATATTTTGCTCTTCGTAATTTAATCTTCTCATATGAATAAATATTTGATGCTGAAAACAGAATCTACTGCTACATAAATCATAATAGCCGCAGCCAATCGTGCATTTATGCTAGATTCTCTATTTGTGATTATGTCGATTCCAGAAAATTCTCTACAGAATCGCTTTAATGAACCAGAACATTTCCTCGCTTTTTATGTTTTCCAAGAAGACCGCCCTACAAATTTAATCTATGATCAAAACAAGTTGATTTACGCAGCATTTTTGGAAATGAATTTTCTTAACTAATTGCAGCTCAGATAACATCTAATAATAAATATATCTGTTAGAATGGAAATCAGACTAGTAGAAAAGAAACTCGATTTTCACTGTTACAACCCAGTTGATCGTTCCGATTCCCCAACAATGAATTGTCATCAAATGTTTACCCATCATTCTCAGAGAGCATTTCCTATTTAGTCTAGATCTCAAGGTTCAGTCTTTTAAGTGATTATTAGAAAGAAGCAGTAAAAAAAAGTATGGCAAGTAGATGTATTTCATACAATCCCACTGTGTACTCAATATTCAACTCATCTACATAGAAGTTTATTAAGAATTCAAAAGCAAAAATTCCAGAGAAAACTAAAGATTTTCCGGTTTGATTGTGTTGCAAAATATATAAAATATGTTATATTGCGAACATTCTAGAGCATCCGGTCAAATTCGAGATGAGAATACGTCAAGGATCTCTGAACTGTCACAACACGCGAACCTGCATCCACATCCAGTCACATCCTACCATCACACCCACACCAACACCCTGAGTCCTCAGGGGCTGTACTATGAAGGCATCCTTAGGTTCTGAAGTACTATAATATAAAGGTACCCTTAGATCCTCAACAGCTATACTATGGAAGTACCCTTAAGTCATCAAGGCCTTATACCATGAGAGTACCCTTAAGTCTTCAAGACCTATACCATAGTCTAAACTATAGCCCTTGAGGGCCTAAGGTTACCCCGTAGTATAGCTCGTGAGAACCTAAAGGTACCTTCATAGTATGGTACTTGAGGACCTAAGGGTACTTCCATAGTATAGCTCCTGCCGACTTAAAGGTACTCTCACAGTATATGGCCTTGAGGACCTAAGGGTTCCCCTATAGTATCGCTCTTCAAGGTCTAAAGTACTCATTTAGTACAGGCCTTGAGACCTAAGGCTATTCGTATAGTATAGCACTTGAGGACCTAAGGGTATCTCTATAGTATAGGCCTTGAGGACCTAAGGCTACCCACATAGTAGAGGTCTTGAGGACCTAAGGGTGCTCCTATAGTATAGCTCTTGAGGACCCAAGCACCCCACTAGAATAGCCATATGAGAACCCAAATACTTCTCATAGGATAGCCATATAAGGGCCCAAGTACCCCTCCTATGATAGCTGTTGAGGACCGGAGTACGCCCACTAAGGTAGCCAGACGAGGACCCAACAACTGGGCATGGTCGTTTCTTACCTATGGCACCAGCACTTTCACTTTAATTTTTTTTTATTGTTTTGAAGTGTTCTCTTTAATTAAAGTTTAAAGTAAAACACTTTAAACTTTAATACTTTTTTAAAGTGTTTTTAAAGTTAAAGTGCCACCCCTAGACTGAGATATTGATGAGACAAATCTGTGTGCAAAATTTCATCACAATCGATTGAGATTTTCAAGAGTTATTGTGTAAACGGCCAGACACACTGACTGATTCTAGAGTGTACTCACTTTTTGAGTACACAAAAGGAGTCTTAGAACACCTGCAGTTTTTGACACTCTTTCAAACAAAAAAAAATATTGGACTTTATCTTGTACTCTGGTCAAGTAACCTTGCAAATACGTTGTCAAACCTACCTTCTGAGAAAAAACGAAAAACATTTTTCATTTTTTTTTAAATAAGCCTGTTTTTTTACTAGAAGTTGATAAAAATCATCAAACATTTTGGCTAAAAAGGGGGTGCTGGAAAAGAAGCCGTAGTTTTTCTGTAAGACCAGAAGACAAGTTATCTTCCTGTGCATCTGTCTCAATTTCAACAATTTTCACGAAAACTGACTTTTTTGAGGGACCTTTAGTAATCAATTTTAATTGATTGCTTCGTTAGTGAAGGTAATCGATGATCATCGATTCATTAGAAATCATGAATAATTAATTAAATTATCATCGATTATCAGCGATTTTATTAATAATCATTATTTTTGATTGATTTATCTTGGATTTCCATAGATTTTTTTATTAAATTATCCGTAATGAGCGAAAATCTCGGAAAAATCAAGGGATTTCGACAAAATTATCGACTTTTTCTGCTATAGATATGGCTTCGACTTGCTACTTCGAATCATTTCGTGCAAAACAGAGATGAGCACAGGACAGGACGGCAGGGCGACCGCACGTCCTGTCCTGTCCGCTCTGCAGGACAGAATAAAAAAGTCGTCCTGTGCTCGTCTCTGGTGCGAAACATGAATACATGAGGATGATGGTAAGAGTGCGGATGTGGATGTGAATTAGGGTTATTTTCTTCTCTCTAAGTTCACCCTTACTTTCATCCTCACCCTCCCCATCATCTTTTCAGTTGACCCTCACTACTCTCAAGTCTGGTCCGAATGACATGAGATGTAATAAGGTAATCATATTATAATGCGACAATTATAGTTGATTATAATCATCCAAATCGATTATAATTAGTTTTTCCCTTGTAGTTGATTACAATTTGTTATGATAGTATAATCGATTATAATGAATTTCGATGATTATAATCGATTAGGAATGTTGCATGTTAATATGATTATTTGATTACTTTTCTCTTGACATAAAATCGATTATCACTATTGATTATTCGATTATTTTTTTACATGGGGACTTCTTGTAAATACATCGAAGTTTAAAACTGAACTGTTTCTTGCACAGTTCAGTTTTCAAATGAAATGTTGCTTCTGTCAAGTGCATCTCCAAACTCTATTTGAACAATAATAGATATCACAACAATGCTGACATCATCAGGTACTTACATGTAGAATAAATATTTCTAACATCAATTTTAATGCGCTATTTCATTCGAAAACTAATAAATGATAATTGTCTTACAGATTTGATTTTTCTAAGGATACATATTTGAAATAAATATTGAATGAATACTACGGATTCAAAACTTGATTTTAATATCTTCCATTTTTACTCATTTATATCTCATTCAATAGAGTATACTGAGGCTGTAAAAAGCCTAAAAGGATTCTTTGTCATGGCTCTTCGATCAAAAGTTATGGGCATTTTCATAACTATCCTGCCTGTGCAATATGCCTGAAAAATCATGATCTTAGCGCAAACTTCTCCCGCTTTATTCTATGATTATGTGAAGAAATCATTCTAAATCTACTGATAGATGATCATTGCAAGTTCATATTATCATGAATGAGGCTCAGAAATCATATTTCCACTTACTTCTTCCAATAATGCCGCAGAAGTTCGCTTTTTTCTAAGTTTCACAATAAAAACTTCATTTTTTGAAAATACACTGTGTTTTCCCGTTTTTTTCATTTTCTGCAGTTTCTGCTACAAATTGTCACCTACTAAATTTTTTTATCACCGTTCACTAATTCTGCTGTTAGTGGATTTCTTTTTATAACGATACTATTAAAAAAATAGTACATAAAATGGTATTTCATTAAGCGAACTATCGAAAATGGAAAAAAACGGGAAAACACAGTGTATTTTCAAAAACTGAAGTTTTTCTTGTGAAACTTAGAAAAAAGCGAACTTCTGCAACATTATCGGAAGAAGTAAATGGAAACATGATTTCTGAGCCTCATTCATGATAATACAAACTTGTAATGATCATCTATCAGTAGATTTAGAGTGATTCCTTCACATAATCATAGAATAAAGCGGGAGAAGTTTGCGCTAAGATCATGATTTTTCAGGCATATTGCACAGACAGGATAGTTATGAAAATGCCCATAACTTTTGATCGAAGAGTCATGGGCAAGAATCCTCTTAGGCTTTTTACAGCCTCAGTATACTCTATTGAATGAGATATAAATGAGTAAAAATGGAAGATATCACCTCGGGTGGTTCCCTCGTAAGGAAATTTTTGGTGGATTGAAGATTAATATCCAAAGAAGATCAAAACCCAGAAAAAATCATCTTGTTTGACCGTCTAATTTTCATAGATTTTATCCATGGGACCAAATAACTCCATATCTTCACATTAAACATAGTCCATAAGACATAGTTTTTTGTAGAGATATTCAAGGGCTATCAAATGAAATGTAAATGGGCTCTGTAGCTTTAGCTGCTCTCGAGAAAATTGCAAAATACAAGCAGGATTGCAATTTACCAGATTAGATCGTTACCACGTAGTCGGTGGAAAAATTGGTACGGAATAAATTCTTGTTTGAACAGATTTGAATTGTAAGACTTGGGATTTGCCGGTAAAAATGGATGCTCTATCCGATAGGATACTTAAAATAGAAAAATAAAATTTACCTTCGATTAATGATCGAAAAATGTTTGGGTTTTCTGATGGAACCTCTATTACCGTACATTTGTAATAATAGCATAAGGCAACACTAAAAACATGAAGATTTTCTCATGATCACTATATTGTTTTAGATTTCAATTTTACTTCTTTACTGCATTGATAGTTAGCCACATTTTATTCAAATTAATCATTCTTAAATATTTTATTCTATTTCACTCTCCACAAAGATTTCGAGTTCTTTCAAATTACGGTGAACATGACTGCCATCCGTTATTTTCATCTCTGGTTTTTTACTTTCTTATCTATTCATCATGTGAATGGTCTTTTCACACCGGATACAAATGATTATAATGCTTATGGATCAAAGATTGCCATGAATGAACATTTTTTTGTATTAGCACAAAATAATCAACCATCACCGACATTTTTCATTCAATTTGCCCCTTATAATGATACTAAAACATTATCATCAGCACAATGTTCAATCAATTATCTAAATAATAATTCTATTTTTATTTATACTGTTGCTATTGGGAAAAAACAAAATCAAAGTCAAATACATTTTTTCTTTGCTGGTGAACTAGTTAATGATCAAAGTGGAATATTCATTGGTATGGTAACATATAATAATTCGAATCGGACTGCCAGTAATACCTATAATACCATATCATCCTCATGTAATACAAGTTTTACTTATTCACTTCACTATCTTTACAATTATGGCCATCAAGAATATCATATAGTTGGCATTGACCCTCAAGGTGTTCGTGCTTATGGATTTTCCAATGAATTTATTTTAATATTTGATTCACAAAATACATCTAGTTTGGATTCGTGGAATGGTAGTTTAACATGGCCACATGATTCATTTATACCACATGCTGTTGATATAAGTGATAATTTTGGTGTCATAGCGGGATTTTTCCATAATGCAACAAATCCAACAGCAAAATATAGCCCAATGATTTATCTTATGAATTTCAATTCATCAAATCATCATCCAATTACTGTTGATCAATATCAACCTATTGCTACTCCAGGTACATGGCAAAATCTATTGATAAATGAAGATGCAGATATTTATTCAGCTAAATATGATATGTCTGTTAGTATTGATAAACAAGGAAATGTGTTAGTTGGAATGCAATTTATCAATCGAGTATTCTTTTTTTCTGTTAATATAACAAATCCAATTCGTTTAAATTATATTAGTCGATTTACAAATGGTAGATCATTAGGAAATGGGAAAAGTGTTGCTTGGTTAAATAATGGGATAGCTGCTATATTAATCAATGTTTATTCATTAAATTATGTGTGGTTATCATCACAAATCTTTTTCTTTGATATTTATGGAAGTGGATATAATTCGAATAGTAGTCCGTTATCAGCTTTCCCAAATAATTATCAATTATTACCGTCAAGTTTTAGTTCTATATTCTTAAATATCATTTCGTCATCATCATCACTTGCGTTACTTGATAGTAAAGGAAACATATTAATCTTTAGTGCAACACAACCTGGATTTTATCCATCTATTCAATATAGAAAATCAATACCAATTATTACACTACCAAAAATATGTCTGCCTGGTACATACAAAAACCAAAGTGGAGTCCATGATTGTGTTCTTTGTCCAACAGGTACAAGAAATCCAGGTAATTCTAGTACCCAATGTATTTTATGTTCATCTGAGTCATTTTGTCCACTTGGTTCAGTAGTGGATGTATCTAAATCTACATTAAAAACAGTTTTTCAAGCTGTTCCATATCCACAGTCACCAGAAGGTACAATGTTCGATGGCATTCTTCTGTATAATATGTTTAATATAGGTCCTGACCGTTGTATTCTTGTATCACCTTTATTTTGGGCATTAATTGTAGGAAGTATAATTGTTCTTATCATCATTATTATGAAGATATTAAAATCATGTAGAAAAGATCCACAAAGTGAAAAAGGAGCACTATCACGTGTATTTAGATTTATGAGCTCGATTGATGAAGGAAAATTCTGGGTTAGTTGCATAGCATCATTTTCTATTATAGTTTTGATTAGTTTCGCATATGCATTTAGCGATAGATACTTGAAACAATATCCAATCGAAAAAAGCTCAGATTCATATTTTGCATGTGATTTATCAATAAGAAATGCAAAATTTGAAACAAATCTACAATCGTTAGCAATACCATTGACACATGCAGAACAAAAAATGTTTGATCTATTAGATTATCAGAACCTTACTTTGAGAATTGATTTTGTAAATACATTGATCTCTTGTGATGCCATATCAATTCAAGCTCTATATGGACAAAAATGGTCGACTATTCGTTATTTAGATTGTATCGAGTCAACTTCCATGCTAACTATACTCATTGCACTTCCTTATGAACATATATCTGTACAGATTTCTGCAGAAGATCCAAAAACAATTGGTGGATTAGGTATTGGTCTTTCTGGGCATGGACATAAAAGCGAAAGATATACGTTAGAAGAGTTACATTTTTATCAATCATTTTCAAAAGACGGACAAATGTTAGCACAAGATTTGATTGTTAATCTTGCATTGACCAAAATGATTAACGAAACAAAGCCAATGGGTGGTGAAGAATCTCAATTCGATGGTATTTTCATTCCAACATTTACAGTTGATATGAATAGTTTATTTGTATCAAATGATCAATATGTTCGTTCTTCATCAACACTGACAACATTAACAATTGTCATAACTGAAACTCCTTATTATGTGAAAAACGTACAACAACCAATAGTTAGACAAGCAGAAATTATATTTCGTAGTTTATTATTTACAATCGTTTGTCTTAAAATATTTAATTTATCGACTTTATTATATACAGGACTTGATAATTTACTTAAGTCAATACGTCGAAGGTGTGAAAAAAGAATATCTAAGAAAAAAGGAACAAATGATGATCCGAAGTGTACAAGGGACTTATCTAAAATTGATGAAATTAATAATAATTTTGGTTCATTCACTCTCTAATACTTTTGACTGCTCTACGCAGAGACATTAGTGTATGCTTTTTTATATTTCGTTTACCAATAATTTTGAGGGTAAGCAGAGTGAATGAGGTGGGTGGTGAGAACGACAGTGGGTGAGAAGCTAATCATTATCCTCGTCCACTCCTACCCACCCACTCTCACCCTTCATCTAACTATAATAATGTGAATACCAAGTCATAGTATTTTATTAACCCTGACACACCAACCTGGGGTCCGCCTGGGCTCCAAGCAGTTTTCAACCAATGGTATTTGCAGAACAACATTAGATTGAACTGGTGGCTCTCTAGGTATGCCTTCGTGAAGCGTAGTAGAGTAAGCTGATAATATGAGCCAGCCATTATCATTTGTTGTTAATGTGATAAACCATGTCGAAGTACATATGAACGGTTGTTGCCAACCTGAGGTCTGCTTGGACCGTAGAAGATGTTTCATACATATGATATTGCATTTAACCGTATCTCCTTCGGAAGGTATCCTCTCATTTGCGAACATACAGTCGAAAATTCAAAGTTTATTAAATTAAATTATATTTCATTTTTCGATTAATTTGAATTTTTCACATTAAAAGCGACTGAAAGTGTCAAATTTTCGATTTTTAATTCGTTAAAACTCATTTCTTCGAAAAAAACTCCGAAAATTAAAATCGTTACTTTTATTATTTAATATTTTTTACTGAAACGAATTTTAACAGCCATTTTGTTTGAAGAATTGAAATTTGCAGAGTTCGCTCTTGTTTTCTATGTTATTTCTGTACTTTTGTTGGGAAGATGTAGAGCTCGCTAGAGCTTTCAATAAAATTTCTATCTATAAATTTGGGAAGATGTAGAGTTCGCTCGTGTTTTCAATACAATTTCTATCTATAAATTTAGGAAGATGTAGAGTTCGCTCTTGTTGTCTATGTTATGTCTATATTCTGGCTTAGGAAGATGTAGAGTTCGTTTGATATATGCCTGCAGGGTTTCGATATATTCAGCTCTTATTAGTAGAGTGTGCTAAACTACGTAGTGCTCTTCTTCTTTTTCTAAATTGAGTCTCATATTTAGAGTTCATTGGATCGAATTACCGATATGAAAGTCATAAGCCTGTTTTTGTATGGGAACTCTATGTAGTTTCCATACTAACATAAGATAAACAGTCCACTGAAAAGAAATTAATTGGAACCCAAATATATAATTATTCAACAACAAAACTGTGGAAACAATGTAAACGAGACAAGATTTAGGTGTTGGTATTAGAGTTCTCTTCAAACAAGCGTCCATCGAGGTCACACTTTGAATGGATATTGAATTATGCTTGTGGAACGTGAGAGAAACAATTCAAAGCTCCCTTCGATCTTCATCCAAACTTTCTTTTCTTTCGCCCCTTGCTCGAGCTATATTAGGGTTCGTTTTTCAATATGAGAATTAAGCATATCACCTTTCAAAAGGTGTTCCTGACTAAGATTAAGATTCATAGTACTTACTTAGGGTATACCAAAAGTTCTGATCACAGTTTTTAAAATTTAATAAAGCAATAAATATTGAATATTTTACTAAGGCAATATATAGTATAACGTCTCGGCTTTAATAATATATAGAGCAACTCTCTCTTAGACTTAGTTCTAACATCCTTTCAGACTAAATCTATAGTATTTATAGCCAAGAAAAGATCATGCCAACATAAAACCACAATACAGAAACGAAGAGACATTCGTTATTTTATTTTATTAAATGCTCAAAATAATCACCATTATTTTCGATACAAAGTTTCATTCTTTCTAACAGTTTATCGAAAGTCTTTTTAAACTCGTTTATTGGAATATTCTTCACTAAGGTGGAAACCTCTTGAGCTAATGATTCTTCGTTTGTGTGATCCGTCAACTTGTTCTTGATATAATCATTTAGCCAAAAGTCACATGGTGCGAGATCTGGTGAATATGGTGGATGTGGAATGATTTCGATTCCTTCCTCCATTAAATAATCAATAACATCTGGATGAGTATGAGGAGGACCATTATCATGAAGCATTTTATATGTAGTACGTGATGACTTTTCCTTTTTTCTTATTTCATTGATAACAGGTATAAGACAATTATCAATATAGTAGTCATGATCGATTGTCTTGCCCTTATCTACTTTGTGTATGAGAAGAGAACCAGTGGATTTGAAGAAGAAGCAAAATAGTGTTCTAGGTTCAAATCTATTCCGACGAACAATGGTTCTTGGTGGTTCATTTTCGCCAATCCAAGTAGCATTGCTTGACTTTCGACCAATCTGCCTGTGATAAATCCATGTATCATCACCAGTAATAACATCACATAAATGCCATGTTCCATTTCTAAATTTCTCTAAATTTTGACGACAAATTCTAAGTCGTTTTTGTTTTTGTTCGTCAGTAAGTTGATGAGCAACCCAACGTGATGTAACTTTTCTCATCTTTAGACGATCATGAATAATTCGTTCTATTGTACCACGTGATAGATCAGTCTCACCCATAATATCATCATAAGTTGAGTGTGGATCATCTTCGATAACTTGTCGAACGCGTTCAACATTTTCATCTGTAAGTACCGAAATCGGACGACCAGATCGAGGATCATCAGTGACATCGTCTCTTCCTTCACGAAAACGTTTCGCCCATCTTCTGACTGTTGGATATGATGGAGCATCAGGTCCCAATGCCTCTGTAAGTTCGTCAAAGATTGTTTTTGAATCTATTCCCAAAATAGCTCGAATTTTGATATAATATCGATTGAATTCATCAGTCATGTTTAATGTCTTCTTTTAAGATTGAAATCAAATTCTATTACGATTTTAAGTCGAGTACGGTACAAATGAACTAACAGCGAACGACCTCTCATTTATATATACTATCGAAATGTAATATTCTAGAACATGACGTCATAAAACGTGACGAGAGAGTGACCAATAGAAAGTTCCAGAATGTACCTGACCATTGAACAAGAATTAATAATATTTGCATTGTCTGTAAAATTATAGATTTAGTCTGAAAGGATGTTAGAACTAAGTCTAAGAGAGAGTTGCTCTATATATTATTAAAGACGAGACGTTATACTATATATCGCCTTAGTAAAATATTCAATATTTATTGCTTTATTAAATTTTAAAAACTGTGATCAGAACTTTTGGTATACCCTAAGTAAACTATATCTATGATCTAGCTACGTTCCAAAAAAGTTTTTATAAAAACTCTCTCGCGATCAACCTATTTCAGTGATCTCGTTTAAAATGCGAAAAGATTTCATTGGCGTTTTTTAAAACAATTTCTTCGATAGTATACCTCACTTATAAAATCTTCTTTTTGGTGAAGCAGCAAAATTCATAATTACTTCAGAGCTGATAAAACCTTTTGAATCAAATACTTTGAAATGTGAAACAAATTTTCTTTCGCTGCCATGTTCTTACACTGATCTTCCAAAATGAGAAGTGACACTCTCAGACCTCATTCGCTTACCTTCAAACAGACTACACGCAACACTTCTAAATCTTTTTTTACATTCAGTTAGATTTATGCTGGATTTTCTAGCGAACTCTACATCTTCCAATATCTACAGATAGAAATTGTATTGAAAACACGAGCGAACTCTAATATCTTGCTAAATTCGATGCGATCTCAAGTTGAAAGTGAAAATTTTCAAATAGAAGTATTCATCAACAATAACTTGAAAATTAAATTAATTTAAATTTTATTGTTTACTGAATTTTAAAACCTTCATAGAATTTTAAAATTTTATTTGACTTATGATCGCAAATGAGAAGTAGCCGTCTAAACTGTTAAAATATAAGGAATTAAAAATAATAATATTTATTGTTCGTTCATGCATTTAATTAAAAATATTGCAAAAGGTAAAAAAACAAATATAGCTTAAACAAACTGAAGTTGATGACCAGTTTTATTTTTTGACCATATTTCAACTACTTTATTTTTCAATTGATCCAAAATAAATGTTTCTAATGTACGTGTGACTAATGAATGTAATCGTTCATCATTCATTTTCGTTCTTAATCTGTTCTTCACGATTTTCATTTTACTAAACAATCTTTCGACACTTGCTGCCGTCACTGATAATGTTAAAAGATCAGTGCTGAGATCTGAAGTAATTTTCGCCACAATCGATGCAAAGTACTTAAGCTCGCGTTGATAGTGGTGGAACTGATTCACATATTTCTTAGTTTAATCAATCCTATTGCGACTAATTATGTATCAGTGAACTAGAAGAAAATGTTATTTTACATTATCACAAACACAGAATTTATATACCAATTTCTTATTATTATTAGCTGTCTTTTTTTTACTACAAGATGTTATAGGGAATAAAAAGAGGACAGCCCTCCCATTTCCATCTTCGAACAGCGAAGAAAACTGCAAGAAATATTTCCACAATTGGTGGCATCTGGACACTAATTTTTTGCCAAATCGAAGTCTCAGGTAAACTTCCTATTTTTCTGAGAAAATACCGCTAAATTTTATTCTATTAGCGAGAAACCATCTTCAATTTTCTTGAATTTGGAAGAAACAACTCTTCAATTTGGGAGAAAAAAATCTTCAATTTCGGAGAAAAAAATCTTCAAGTTGGGAGAAAAAAATCTTCATTTTTCTTCGAATCGGAGGAAAACTGGAGTCGAAATTTCCAAAGCAGGAGGGGAGAACCCCCCTCAACCCCCCGGTCGCGCCGCCCCTGTTTACTTTCTTCTCAAATACGTTCTGAAAGAATACAGCTGGTACAAAATTTATAGTTCAGATGTTGCTCTTTTTAATAAGAAAATTGGCTCTCTACAATGTTCCTAAGCAAAGAAGCATGTCTCGACATTTCGGCAATTATTTTTGCACCGTGAGTTCATCTAACTCTTTACGAATAAATAGCATCCTACTAATCAAATTTTTATTTTTTTTACTTTACTATTAAGCAAATTTTTTTTCAATAAACATGGCATTGCCAATTGCATCCAGATGCTTCGTATGATCGATAAAGAAAAACAT